GACAGCAGACTTTTCTTTCACTGCCTTCCCTGTCATCCTAATATCCACAAAGGTGTCAAGAGCAAAAAGAGGAAAACACGATTGCCTGGTTAACAGGGCTTTTGTGTTTCATTCTGCCACTTTTTTTTCCTGTTTATGAATAAAAGGAATTTCATCCACATCTTCTGTTTTTTTTTTGTACTTCTTTTCACTCAGAAACCCTTTTGTTGCGACAAGGATGTTTAAAATGTATCTTGAAGAATAGGAAAATTGAGTGGTTTCCTCTACCTTGTTAGGTTTGTGCTGTTTTTCTATTCAACAAATGACAAATGGAGATAGCTCTAAAGCCTCCTCGAAGTGGCATGACCGGTTTTCCACCTCGTTTCACCTCAAAACCCTGCTGTTAAACCGGGGCATTGTCCTTATTTGCTTTTATTTTTGCTGGCACAGACAGCTTTATGATCCTAGAAGACATTGTGCTTTTATCTCAACCTCTCTAACCCTGTTTCCACTCTGTTATTTGTTCCTGACTCTGTGTCCATCTTTGTCTGCCGTCTCCACCTCCCACCGTAGCTCAAGGCGAGAGAAGTGGTAGTTGCAAGTGAGTGTATTAAACTGTATGGTAATCGCACTGAGGAAAGGGCGCATGAGGCAGTCATGTTTCTAATGAGACGTGGAGAAGCAGTCTGACCTCTCCAGCCATTGCACTGCAGGCATTCATCATCCCAACCACAAGCAGGATGAGGGGCTGAAGGAAGAGAGAGTGCACTGCCCTCTATTGAGAGCAACAACTCTCTGCAGGTCAGCAGGAGGAAAAAGTTACAAAGGAGGAGGAGAATTTAAAAAAGGGAAACTACAACACAGAGACATATTGAATGGGGAGAGGAGCAGATTTGTATTGTACAGTTCAGCACAAAGGCTCTGATTATCTGCAGCTTTATTGTAAAGCATGAATTTCGTTTGCAGATAATTGATTTGGCTGTAATTGCACACTAATAGCGTAAACTACATAATCACTGCAGTTGTTATCCCTGAGCCCAGCATGCTGCCAAGTTGTAGAAAATACAAGAGCTTTGCACTTTTTTTAAATTCTGACTTAGAAAAACTGTGCATTTATTTAAAAAGAAAAATGCCATTAATGGATCTGCGCTCCATCAAGTGAATGATACTTGAGAATTTAAAAATTTTTGTTTATAAATGTGGCTAATTATGGCATAAGAGATCTCTGCTCTCTGCAGTTCCTCTTCATGATCGTTTACAACCTGTTTTGATGCTCACTTTAAAGATTATTATGAGGAAAGTAGTTAAACTTTTTTTTGTTGCCGATTAAATTGGGGGATTAATGGGATTAATTTTAACGGACAATGAAATAATCCAAGGAATTTCCAATCTGCGTAAGGAACTAAGATTTTAAATGTGCAAACATAGTACTAAATAAAACCTTTTGGCTGGGGTCACCATAATGAACAAACATAAAAATTTAGCCTATACCCTTCCTGAAACAACCAGGGCTCAAACCTGCAACCTCAGGATTGCAAATGGCACTGACCACCGAGCTACCACTGTCTTATTTTTTTACATTCAACGTATATACACGTTTGGGTAACACTTTACAATAAGGTACACAAAATTTGATTAACTACTAGGGAACGCCTCAGGAACGAATCAGGAAAAAATCAAGAGCTAATGGGTTAACGTTAACCAGTACTGCGTAACACACATCCAAGCCTTATTAGGGGACTACTGGTTAGTTACATTGTAAATAAAGAGGAAGTAAGAACTAATGGGTAATTAATAAGGAAACCAAAGAAGAATGAATCAGGAGCTAATGGGTAGTTAACCAGTACTTACTGGGACATTGTGTGTGCCTTATTGTAAAGTGTTACCAACAAATTAATAGCCAGGCAATGATTTGGTACTCAGTGATAGTCAGACATAGTTAAGATGACAGCAGTACATGATTATGAAATTACTAATCAGTGGTAAGTATCCAATAAAATCAGTAAAGACTAGGAAACAGGTTTTTGACAATTATGAGCTGTGACCTCACTGGTGCAGAGTTTATTCAGAATCCAAATGGAGAATTTATTTTCTGTTTTTGTGGTAACAAACCAGTAGTCCCCTAATAAGGCTTGGCTGTGTTCCATAAGTACTAGTCAACTACCCATTAGTTCCTGATTAGTTCCTCTTTGTTTCCCAGGTAACTAACCAGTAGTCCCCTAATAAGGCTTGGCTGTGTGTTCCCCAGTAAGTACTGGTTAACTACCCATTAGCTCCTGATTCGTTCCTGAAGCGTTCCCTATTAGTTAACAAATTCTGTGCACCTTATTGTAAAGTGTTACCCAAACGTGTATGTAAGTTGAACGTAAAAAATTCAAACAAAGTCAAAGTTTTTAGTACTTTTATAACAGGAAGTTGATGTTTGCACAATGTACAATGTCTGAGCCTGCTGCAGGGATTTAGTGGTGCCCACATGCAGATGTGCAACCATGTGTGTGTCTGCAAAAATTGTGAATTTGTTCACAAGTTAAAGATTTCTATGTTGGAAATTGTGGCTACCTGTTTGAACTCTGTGTCTGCAGAATGTTTCAGAGATCACATGGTGTAAGGAAAACACTTGTGTTCGTTCTAGTCAATATTAGTTTTGTTTCAGTGATCATTTTTGAGCAACACTAGTTTTTATAACCCAGTGCAGAATGTGACACGTAACAGTTTATGCAGTTGTGTGTAAGAAAGAATGAAGTCAAATAAACATACAGTGTGTGCATTTCTTTGTTTATGTGCTTGAGTTAGAAACAGCTCTTCTCTTGGTTTCTACAATGCGAGATTCAGGAGCAGATTCATACCGATGTTCTCCTGTGATCATCCAAGTTTTAGTTGGTTTGCAACATTATTTACAACGTACCCAAGTAATTCTATTCAATTCACTTCAGTTTATTTATTTAGCACCAAGTCACAACAGAAGTCAACTCAGGACACTGCAAGGAAACTTTCATATACATAAAAACTACGTTAAAAATGTTATTTATCTGAGGAGCAGACTGTACAAATCCAAAACCTTTTCTGACTGACCTAGAATTCCTTTTTGTGCCACGCCTGATCTGCACAGAAGCTTCCAAAACTGCTCTCTCATGTCCTGCTTATTAACAGTGCATCTTTAAATCTGCACTTTGATGTGAGGCTAGCTTCTAAAGTGTGAACATACTGGGGGGGAGATTTAAAGGCAAGCTTGCCCAAAATATGTTTAATGAAATTTTTAGATCTTATCTCTGCCCTAAAACTGCCTTTCTCTTGCTCAGTTTAGACCTTTTTCCTTTTTTAAAAAAAAAATTGTGTGACTTTTTCAAAGCAGCACACATTTTTTGCTATAAACATAAAGAAAATGATACTTATCCAAATAATTTCAGCTTGTTATGCTACTTTCAGCTGATTTCTGCAAGTTTCATCTTTTTCTGCTATTTCAGCTACTGTTTAGCTGATTTTATGCTAGTTTAAACATTTTCAGTTAATTCCATTGTTTGCGCCCATTTCAACTTTTTCAGCCTAATTGAACAAACGTGCTCTCTCCACTTCCTTCTGGAAATTTCAGCTTATTTCTAATTTTTAGCTACTTTTCAGCTGTTTTTGTGCTAATTTTAGCTTTTTTGAGATAATTTCCACTTTGTATGCTCATTTCTGCTTCTTTCAGCAAACAAGTGTTCTTCCTGCTTTCTTCTGCTAATTAAAGCTTGTTCTACCTTTTCAGATATATATATATTTTTAGCATTTTAGCTAATTTAAGCTGTTTTTAAATAAATTCAAGTTTTTATGGTGATTTTTGCTACTTTCAGCTTCGACTAATTTCAGCTTTTGCCCCATTCAGCTTAATTATGCTAATCTAAGCTTTTCCTTCTATTTCAGCTACTTTTTATCTGTTTTGTACTAAATGTAGGTTTTTGAACTAATTCCACATTATTTTAGGTAATTTCAGCTACTTCCACTTCCTTTTGGTAGTTTAATCTAATTTCAGCTTTTTTAGTTAATTTGCTAATTTTTCTGCTTATTTCTGCTCATTTAAACCTAGTTCAGCAAATATGTTCTTTATGCTTCTGCTAACTTGGGCTTGTCCTTCCATTGTTGCTACATTTCAGCATATTTTGAGATTATTTCAGCTGTTTTTCAGTGAGTTCTTAAGCAATAAGCATTCACACTGCATTTTCACAGGAAATGCAATTTCTCTAGTTTGAATTGTTTTTGTCTTTTGTTTTCTCTTTACTCTAAAACATGCCTCACACATACCTCTGTGTCTCTTTAAGATCCCCACGTATGAGTAGTATTTTTTTACGACAGAGGGTACTGTGCATCTGTATTGTTGGAAAAGGCATTGCACTGAGTTTTGACATTGACACCTATGGGAAAGGCGTTGGCTAAAACAAACCAAGCATTCAGCAAATCAAATAAGTTTGGAGGATATTATTTTGCATTCATTGTTTTTCTGCTTTGCTTGCGTCTGCATCAGCTGGGAGAAAATTATTTGCGTGGCCCTGGCAATCTCTGAGAAAGACAAACCGTATTGCAATGGGAAAAAATAAATAAATTGCTTTTTTTTCCCCCTTGCCTTACAACATGATGGTTTTAGGTGGATCTGAGAATGAATATCAATGGTGACGTGATTAGATTCAGATCAGACTGTAGATGAAGTGTGTGTTGTTTACGTTTCAAGAAAAATAGCACATCCTGCACAAAGTCTGCAGGGAGCAGAGTAGAACAGTTCTCTTTTCATAAAGTACTTGTTGGTACATGTTTTTCTTTTGACTGGAAAAAATCAACACCAATGTTACGACTGATATTCCTTCGTTTGAATGTCTCTCCTTTGTTTTTTTCTTTCCCTACTTTTTTCTTTGGGAGCAATCCTTTTCCAATGCTACCTTTTATTGTTGGGCATCTCTGAGGGTTATACACCTAACTTTACTTTCATTTCTTGCTCGTTTTGTTGTTTTAACTTCCATCTTTTTGACATTGTCTCCTTTTCTCCTTTGCAGAGTTGAAGCAGTGGGATACCAGCGAGTGCTGCAGGTAGACCTGGAGGTGAACGGATTAATGGTGACTCAGGGGAGCAGGGAGGTGACCTGGCAGGTGGAGTATCCACTCACCCGCACCCTGACCAGCGAGGTGCAAACCCTCATCCGTCTGGCACCGCAGGACCTGGGCGGCATTGTGCCACTAGCCATGGTAAGGAACGAGGGGATGTTTGGGGCTTTGGTGTACAGATATTTGTGCTTTGCTGAGAATTTTCTAAAGATCTATATTGTAAAAAAAAAAAACCTTAATGAATCCAAGCACATGATTAGTAAAGTAAGCAGGAAAGATTTGTCCTTGCACAGTCTGGTGTGCAAAAAAGAGCTAAAAGAAGCACGAGTGGTTTCTGTGAATGTGCAACTTAACAAAGCTGGTTTTTAACTGATAAACTGAACGTGTCCCATTCTGGAGACATTTGTTGGTGCTTTTCATGGGAATGGGCCATTATTTGACAAATGTTTTGAATAAGTGGAAATCATCAGGATTCATTATTATTTCAATCTTCTGTTTTGCTTTAAAATTAACTATATAAATTGAAGATATCAAAATTCAAAACTTATGCCACGATGTGCCTGCATTCCTGAAAAGTCAACAGGAGCACACGATGAGTCCGATCTTGACTCTCAGCTGGCAGAGAAAAACTGAAGAATGAAACAATTTATGGTCAAACTTTGACACATTCTGCTGCAACTATTTTATTTTGCTTTTACAATCTGACAAATCTATTATAAGTAATGCAAAAAATCCAGCTTGTTTTTTTATCTTTAAACTATGTGAGCAGAGGTTTTAATAAATGAAGATGTGCTTAAATACGATCCAAGGTGAGCAAGTGAGTTCAAACTGACCTCATTTACAAACTTTGTTTTAATGGGCCACTTGTTTGCCAACAAAGCACAAATAAGTGTATATATTAGAGCATCTTGATTAATATTTCTTAACAAATTAAACACAGTATTTGTAAACTCAGGGAGTAGAAGCGAAACATTTCAGATGAAAAACAACACACTGATAGGGATGCAATCAGCATGCTAATTGATGCATGACATCAGCGATGAACTTTGTTCAACTATTTTCAGAAAACTATAAAAATACATCCGTCAAAAATCAAAGATTGTGTGATTCAGTTTTTTGACTAGTGTTTGTGAGGAAAGCGACTTGCACAACACACGCGAAACTACATTTTTTTTACGACACTCACAAGATCACAATTATGACTCCATTTTGCCAGGCTCCGAGCCACATTGGTTGCCAAGACGCATTATTCATACCAATCTGTGTCCTTTACTTGTAGCTACAGGCTGGATTTAAATGGGATGACAGGAAACAGTAAGCAGCTCCTAAAGAGGTCAGAGCAAATGTTCCAGATTGTAAAACGAGCGAGTGCTTCTTCACTGAAAGAAACAAAAAAATGACACAGCCTTCTCTTGACTAAAAAGATGTTTGCTTTTTTATCTGCCATCTAGCTTTGTAAAGAAATGGATTTTACCAAAGATGCACAGACGGAAGGCAGCTCAATGATATAGTGGTTAATAATGTCACCTCACAGGACTTTCTCTTCAAACCTCGGCTGTGAAAGCCTTTCTATGTGGAGTTTGTGACGTTCATGTTGCATACGAGAATGACTGGTGATTCTAAATTGACTGTACGAGTGACTTGGAGTGAGCGTGGTTGGTAAACCCATGTAACTCTTTGTTATAGCCCTTTTGCATTTTGCATTTTTTTGGAACCAGAGACTCGGGGTTCCATCAAAGCCAACTGGTGCTGAAGATTTTCCTGTGTTTTTTCAAGCAGCTTGCAGCCTTCTCGGCCTGTTCTTGTCTTTTTTATTATTATTATTATTAAAGAAAGATTGAATAATAGCATGAGCTCCATGCTTTACATTGTTTGGTGTTGTGAAAAATTACATCACATGAGTCTCAAGCATTCTTGCTATGATGAGCTTGCTCACATGAAAATTCAAACACGCCTGTGCAGAGCCTGGGAAGACCAGGGTCAGGCCAACCCGGGCCAGGCTGGACCTTACAATGCCAAAATACCATTAGGCTTGTGATAACTTGTTGCAAAAGGATTTATTCCAAGATGATATATGCACAATATGTAATTGTTCTCCTGAATCATCCTAATGTTAATGTTGAAAATCTTGCTTCTAACCTACAAAGCCTTCCAACAACCTAGCTCCATCTTATATTAGATACTTATTGTTCATTGACAAAACCTATAATTAGGGTTAATTTGTTATGCTGCCATAGACTCAGACTACTAGAGGACAAATTGACCTCATTTCCTTAAATGATTTGCCAAAATATTATAGTTTTCTTTTGAAATTATTTCTATCTTAACATGTGATTCTGGACCTGCCATTGTGTATCTGTTCCTATCTAACCCAACCGCGCGCTCTTGGCCACGCCCACTTCTCCACTCTGCACCTAAACAGCTGATCAGCTGTTTGACTGCAGCAGGAAGTTTATCCTGCAGCAGTATGGGCTGCACAAAGTTGCAGGAGGAAGCTTTTTTCTGCTGCTCTGGGCTTCACAAATGTGCAGCAGGTGCTAAATATTTTAAAACAATTTATTTTTAATAAAAATTCCATGCCGATCCTGCGGCTCATCCATCAATCAGCCAATTGTGTGTCATGTCCAATCTTATTTTGAAAAACCACGATAGAGCGAATCCATGATAAATGAACTGCAAAGTAGCAAGGGACTACTCTGTACTCAAAATGCAGAGATTTATTCACCAAAAGTAACTTGTAGCTTAATCTGTGCATTGAGTGTGATGCGTCTGAAGTCACAAATTACCTTAAAATATTACCAATAATTGAAATTATATATATATATATATATATAT